CACCCTTGCCGCGGTATTAAAAAGGCTAAGGCAGATGGCCGAGGGAAGGGCCATCAAAAGAGTCAAGGGCAGGCCGCCTCCAATCAGTCCAAAGTTGATGATTGTGTTAAGGCTGGCTTAGAGTAGTGTGGTGGGACCGCCGTTCGCGTGGAGCTTGCATTAACTATGTGAGAATGAGCACACCCAGTATAAGTGCAAGAATGCGAAGGTCACGCAGAAGATACCCCCTAAGGGAGGGGTGCCTTCTTCCCAGGCTTCTAGCTCGGGTAACAAGTGAGGCCGGTGGAAGTTTTAGCTGCTTCCACTCATGGTGAAGTGGGAATACCCTCCCCACTTCATGAGTTGGCCAAGGCTAATGACTCTTTAGTCACCCCGCAGACTCATTAGGACCAAAATGTGCTTTGCACATTAGATGTGTCTGAGGCCTTAAAGGATTCACATAATGAGTGGTCAGACAGGGACCCTAGAGAATCCTGGGTGGCACAAAGTTGTGGTCCTAGAGGGGAGCATTTTGTGTGGAAGTTTGTGTAGGAGGCCGCAAATGTGGTGCCTTCGTTGACATCGGCTCCACGCGGAACTACATAAGCTCTGACTGCTTGGAAAGGTTGCGCCTACAGGACCAGATACAACACCTTAGTAGACCGGTAGCATCTACTTTGGCCAACGACGAGCGCTTAGTAGTGTGTGAAAGACTATGTCAAGGACGTAGTCTGGACCTTCTCTTTTGGAGGAGGGGAACTTAATCATAGGATTTCGTTCCAGATTAGTGACGAGTTGCCATTTGACATGCTCTTAGGAATGTACTACCTTAAGGTTGCCAAGCCCCAGTTGGACTGGACAAGAAAATGCTGAAGCATGAGTTGCCTGATAGGAGAACCATTAAACTAGCTAAGTGTAAGGCTAGTAGGTTGTTTGAGTCCTATGCGTGCGTATGTACAACAACGTTCTACAAATACTATAAACAAGACCAAGAGGAGGGTATGTACCTAGTCTACATCTCTGAGAAAGGGGAAGCCGTTAAAACACCCCCAGAGATAKAGCATATCGTTGCTAAGTTCCCTGATCTGTTCAAGAAGCCCACAGGAGTCGTTGAAAGGGAGATAGTCCACGCCCTAGAAATAATTCCAGGGAGTAAAACCCCAAAGGGAAGAATCTATAGGATGGCCCCGACCGAGAGGGACGAACTCTATCCACAATTGAAGGAGCTGACAGAAAAGGGATGTATATGGCCTAAGTACTTCTCGCTTCGGATCCCCAGTGTTGTCTGTAACGAAGAAGGGAGGAAGTTTGAGGATGCGCTTTGACTATAGAGGCCTCAAAGCCATCACAGTGAAGAACGCAGAGCCTCTAAGTGGCTAGTATTAGGGACTGGCCGCATCCTCAGACGGTGACTGAGGTTAGATCTTTCTTAGGGATGAGCGGCTACTAAAGGGATTTCGTAAAGAACTATTCTACAGTCATCTCTCCTTGGACAGATCTTACTAATGAAAGTTTGACAAGAGCAATGCAAGCCTTCCAATTAGCCAAAAAAATGAAAGTAAATTGGGCAAAAATTGGAGGCTGGTGGACCACAGAATCACTCCTTCCACCCACATAATCAACTCCTCAAGATATGCAATGGGCAAATCCTGACTCACCAATCTGTTTCCTAGGAATAGATCTCAGTCTAAAAGGTTGTCACCGAACATCGGCAGCATCTCTACTATCAGCAATGATCAACATAATGCACACCTGGAAAACCATACACGCTTCTCTCCTAGGGAGAGTTCTAGCCCTCAACAACTCCATGCTAGCCATGATGTGGTATGCCACCTCCATTTGGTTCCCATCGACAGATTTCCACAACCAACTGAGGAAAAAAACAGCGGCTTTCCTCTGGATAGGCAACCCAGACAAACAACATTTCATTCACAAGGTAGCCTGGCAGATAATTATTAGCCCTAAAAGCAAAGGAGGCCTACGACTCATAGACCCAGCTCGCCAAATTCAGGCCCTTCAAATCAAGTGGATCCTAAGACTAACCCTTCACGACAACGTCCATTGGATCCCAGTAGCTCTCAGCCACATCAGAGATATTGCACCTTTCAAATCTCCTACCAACATGCTAGGCTGTAACCTTCTTTAGTGAGTCTAAGGGATAAGGAAATTGCTTTGTGGTCGAGGCCTTTATGATATGGGTTATCGTGTATGTAACAGTCTTGAATGACACCTGTCAACGATTCTGATGAGAGGAAAAAATTTATCCTGAAGAAAGAGGTACGGCCTAATGAGGTTTTTCTAGTGCAAGAATATCTTTTGAGATCCGGATGTAGTAGGCGGAATGGGTATTAAGTTCTTTCTGACGATGAAGTCATTTAGGTCTGTGCAGTAGGATTGGGATGAGGGGTCTTGAGAATGAGATATTTCGTCTAAATTGGGGTTTTGCACTAAATTTCAGTCTCCCATGATAATGGAAGGTGTGTGTGTGGGAATAAGTTCTTCTAATGTGAGTAGGAAGGGTGTTTTATCTTGTGGTAGATTTGGGCCATAAATTCCTATGATGGACATTTCTTCTGCTTTGAATTTGATGTTTATTTTGATCCATCTGCTTGACATGTTGTCTTGGCCGTAGTTCTGTATTATTATTTTTTCGCTTGCTGCTGATTTTTGGCGGAGGAGGATGGCTATTCCTGGTGAACCGTTTTCTGTGGCTTTGGCCCAGAAAGCAGTTCTGACAAAAGATAGCTTCCTCGTTACTGCTTTTTGCAATTTGTTACATTCATAACTATTGGTTGTGTTCCTTGGAGACAAGTGATGTCGGGTGGGTTGGGTCTGAACCAGCGGATGGTTGAGGTTCCCCCACTTGACTGGGTTGTCCAAGATGGAGACTAAACCATTGATGCTCCAAGACTTGCAGGTTATCTCGGGTTGCTTTCTTATGTCTTTTAGGATGTCGGCTTCGGTGGTGGGTTTGAATTGCTTTATTCTGTTCCTTGGCCCACTGTCAAGATAGTCATCTGAAGGGTTTTCCATTGAAGTTGAGATGATTACTCCTGATGTGGGCCTGCTGATTGACTCAGAGGATTGTGTTATGATCCTGGCCAATTTCGAAGTATACATTCATCAGAAAGTACAATGCCGTCCAGTTGCAAAAAGAAACGAATGAACTTGAGAGGAGACAGAGGGAAAGAAGAAGAAGAAGAAGAAAGAAAAAAGAAGAGTATGATGTACACCAACATAGACCAATGATAATGCTCTTCGTCTTGGTCAACCACTCTCCTCCTCCTTATCTCTTCCCCTCCTATTCCAACAAGAAAAAATAATAACAATGTTGAATGGCTGAACCTGAATCAATGTCTGCATCCCACTTCTACTGCAGGTATCACATGAGGTCCACCATAGCCATTGCCACCGTTCTTCCTCCTTCCTCCAAGGCCGAGGCTATGGCGGACTACCAGGGCATCGCCCTGCTGTCCAAAGGACAACACAAAGCAGCTATGGCTGCTCTAGCTCAGGCCGCCATGTCTGACTCTGCCTCGAAGCTTCTTGGTGTAGCTCTACCCCAACCGGGGCCTTCCTGCTCCAGTGCCCACCAAGGTGATGAAGATGGCAACCACCATAGCCAGGTAAGTACCTCTGGCGCTCCCCCTTCCTAGTCCTGGTCTTCTTCCTTCTCCGTGTCCTTGCTCTATCCCCAGCAGCGCTGCTCCAGCCAGCGCTCCAACCAGTGTGTCGCCAAACTTGCACACCGACAATGAGGAGGAGCACCTTGCTCCTCCTGGAGATAAGCGGCCTGCTTGCCTCTTGGCGAGTGACTTCCTAGTCCGCGCGGCCTCCAAGCAACCGGTACCTCCTCCCTTTTGGAGGGAAACATCATTGCAGACTCTGATATTGCCCGTACAGGCCCTAAACTCAGACTGTTTGGACTGGTACCTGCCTAGACCTAGCCTACAACTACTGGGCCTCTAAAAATGCCAACTTTTCAACTTTTGTCTTCTTCTGCTCGGCCTCGAGTACCCGGCACATCTACCTCTACCTGGTGTGGTACCGGCCTACCTGCTACTTGAGTGTTTCCCGCTGCTTCATGTGTCGCGAGCCTCTTTCCCCGCCACTTGAGTGTTTTCCCCGCTGCAACCCTCAATGTCACGGCCACAGGTAAGTACCGGCCCTTCGGGCCTCTGAATGAACAAGTGCCCTTGCGGGTCACACACACACTCAAGCCGACAAGCACTCAGACAGGCATGCAGTCCAGCAAGCATGCACACACACAAACTTAGAGAACTCAGCAGCAAGCGGGAAACTCAGCAAGCCATTCATTCTATGAGCAAAACTCAAAAATCAGCTGTGTGTCTCAGTTCGTGTTTGGCAGGTCATTACAGTTGGCCTATCTTCTTCGTTTCCGTTCTCTTCTCCCCCGTCTCCTCCTTTTCCTTCTTCAACTTGTTGAGGGCCTCCTCTTCGTTGGTGCCCATCAGTTTTTCCCTCATGAAGGCTGTAGTGCTAAATGCAATTCTGTCCACTTCGTCCTTGTGGCCCAGTAATTGGTAGGGAATCTCGCTGATCAGCTCCCATGGTTTCCATGTCAGGTCATCCTTCAACTGTGCCTGTTGATCACACAAAACCATGACTGGTTTTAAGTTCCTGTAGCATGCGACATGCTAATGGCAAGGGTGATGAAAAAGATGGGGGGGGAAAAAAGGAGGAGATGCTTGCCCCTCCCCACCAATAGCTGTAGCATCCCGATAGCCAAGACCTCAATCCCGGCTCTCTTGCCACCGCCAGGATAGTGGACTTGTGACCGAAAAAAAAAAAAAAGGATATGCCATTGGCATGATAGGAATATTGCTATATTTCGAAAAGAAAATGAGAAGACGTGGTTATTGGTTGAGCCCCTTGAGGGCCAGTGCTGATTGTGGTATGGAGTACTATTTAGTATTTACCTTCCCTGCCTTGCTTCCTTTTTTTTTTGTTTTGTTTGCATTTCTTTCCTCCCCTTGTCACTTTAAAAATGATGAAGGCAGTTCAAGGAGCTTGTTATGACTCTCTATCCAGACACAGCCAGACCAACTCTCGACGATTTTATCCGCAATGAGATGAAAGCTAAGGTAATAGTTACTTTCCAGGAACATTCCATTTGCAATGGCCTGAAGGATTCTTTTCTCTTGTATTATTTTAATGTTTTTTTATTTTTTTTATTTTTGCTACTATTACTATTGTTTTTGCCTGAAGGCCTCTCTCTCTCTCTCTCTCTCTCTCTCTCTCTCTCTCTCTCTCTCTCTCTTTTCTTTTTTCTTTTCACTCAAGGTTATATGTTCATAACTCTATAGAGTATAACTTATCTGCCAATTGTGCTTGCTCCTCTCCCTCCTTTCTCTTTTCTTTTTTTTTTTTTGATAAATACCTTGTCGCTTTCCATTGGTGGTGAGGGTCTCACGTGCCGGGAACCGCGCTCAACATCGCATGACATACAAATTCAACCACAAGCATTGTTATAGGGGTGCACACACACACACACACACACACACACACAGAGAGAGAGAGAGAGAGAGAGAGAGAGAGAGAGATGGCACTACCTGACCGTGCAGTGCAGGCCAGGCAACCGGGCAAGTCACCGGGGGGTTTGACACCTAGGGCACCTGTGCATGGGAATAAGTGGCGTCTTTTCTCTTTTTTTCTGTTGTGGGGTGGGGGGGTTTCTGTGCATGCCCAGAGGAGCCTAAATCCGGGCTCTTTTCTTTTTTCGAGTCTTGGCTGTCAAGGGGAAGAAGGGGGTGTTGTGTAATTGTTCTTAAAGGGGCTAAAGGGGCTTAAAGGGGGGTGCCTTAATCTGATTCTGTTATTTTCTTTTTTTATCTTCAATTCTGTGAGGAAATCTGATGTGGCTTCATCGTTTTCTATAATCCATGTTTTTAGTAACATTTTACGGAATTTTTACCAACGAGTGTTTCACTCAAAACGAGTCAAAATATTGTTGAAGTTGTGTTGATGATGATGTTGCCTCTTTGTATGATTACTGTCTCTTGGTACGTTGCATGAGCCTCCTGGATGTTCTTTCTTACACACTGGATCTTCATTGCACTTTGCTTCGGCAAGCAAGATTCATCTCCAAAAGTTGTTTGCAACTTCGAAAATTGCAATTATAGTATTATTATACACAACGAGGGGAGGCTGTCGGGAGTTATGCCAGTCCACGAGAATTAGTGTGGAAGTTCTGACCAACTGTTCCGTTAGCATAGTTTTTTTTTTTCTTTTTTTTTTTTTTTCCGGTGTTGTTTTTGTTTGTTTGTTTGTTTGTTTTTGTTTTTGTTTTTGTTTGTTTGTTTGTTTGTTTGTTTGTTTGTTTGTTTGTCTGTTTGTTTGTGCAATCAGACTCACTTTCTTCTTCACTTCACATGCATGCAAACAGATGGGGATCCAAACTGGCGCTGTGCGCCTACACAAAGCTGAGAGATATTCAAGTTGAACACACAGTTCAGATACAAACTCGCTTCAGTTCGGCTATGGTGCCTGAGAGCTGACTCATCCCTCTTCATCTTAACTGTTCAAACGCATGTCACACTGGATCTCCCTGGATATCCCATGCATACTCACTCGGTACCATAAACACACATACTGAACTTGACCTCTAAGCTACAGCAGCTATGGCCGCTCTACTACTGCTGGCTATGGACGAACTATCTCCCTTCAGCCCACTTCGACCTCGGGCATCTGCAGACCACCTCGCACAAGACGCCTGGGCAGCACTTCCGCATGGCTCACGCAGGAATGAATGAATGGCTGGACGCTGCCTCTTGATTTATACTTTTGTAAGTCGCTGGTCTGCCCTTTTCCACCGGCCCATGGTGCACACAGTCCCTCATGGTACTTGCTGACTGTACAAAGTAGGACTGGGACTGGGTACCGCTGACTAAGCAAAGTTGGACTCACCACTTGCCCACTTGCCTCTGACTAAACGTGAGAAACTCTTGAAAGGGCACCGGAAGTCTGTGAACTTGGCCTTTCGGAAATGTCGCAGCTATGACCTTGACCTTTCAGGACTGTAGCAGCTACGACCCTTGACCTTTCAGAATTGCTATAGCTATGACCTCTGTACAACTATGACCCCTACTCGACAGACCTACAGATCGAACCCCTACAGCTACACAGACCTACGACAGACTACAGTCAACTACCAAAACACAGGTCACGGGTTCAAACACACACAGGGGTCGACTTAATACTGTACACAGGTAAGGCGTGGTTTAGGGATCGATCCCTGGGATCTGCATCTGTTACTGCAAAGGTGAAAAACCGTTTCACTCCCGCCGGCCTAAATTCGAGGTCCTCCGAGAATACTTCAGTCCAAGGCAGGACCTTTTCCTTTTCTATCTCTCTCGGAGGCGCGAACTACATCGGGAGCGGTCTCAAGCAGTTCTGTTCGTGTAAACCAGCGGTTGTCCTCTGGTTCCTGAAAAGCGAACCTGACCTTATATTCTTTCTGTGGACGACCCCTACCTCCGGTTCTGAACACATCTTCACCTACGATGCTGTCAATGTCGTACTTTCCATCCATGTCCGGAGGGATCATGGACCTCCGTGAGGGAAACTGTTGACTTATGGTACAAGGGAGCAACTTTGACGCATGAAAGACTCGGTAGGTGTGGAGGTGTGCTTGAATCTCGACTGTGTAGGATGGTCCATCCTCTCTGCCCTTAACTTCTGAGACTGGCCACGGTCCCCTATACGCATGTAACGGTTTCTGCGAGATGTTTTCCTCAAGGGCAAATTCCTTAGACTCGACCCAGACTAAGTCGCCGACTTGGAACTATGATGGGCGACGGTGCTTATTGGCTTGCTCAATCATTCTGTGCTGGACCTTCCTGAGGTTCTCTACTACGGTAGCAATTTCTTTCTTATGCTGTATCGCGAACTCCCTAGTTCTGGGCGGTAGCCTTTGAATCTGATCCCGGTTGAGTTCCTCAAACGGTCTACGCGGTCTAAAGGACTTACGCAATTCGTTGGGAGTGCGACAAGTGGCTAAGTCCACGCTGTTGTTATAGGCACTGGCTACCTTTGGGAGCATCTCATCCCAGATAACTTGGTCGGGTCGAATGTACATTCTCAGAACCTGCTGCAGGACTTTGTTCATCTGCTCAGTCTGACCGTTGGTCTCTGGGTGACGGCCAGATGGGATCAACAATTTAGATTCGTAAACTCTCATCAACTTCTGCCAGTTCTGACTAGTGAACCTGGTATCTCTATCACTATCTATAGAAAGCGGTAAACCATGTTCACTGACCCAATAATTGAAAAACTTTTGAATCACTAAATCTGTTCGTGCCTCTGAAGGTGAAGGAACAAACCCTGCATACTTACTAAATCTATCAACTATCACCATGACTTGGCTCTTGCCATGTCGACTCCTGACCTTAGCATCCATGAAGTCGATGGATACAAAGTCTCCTGGCCCATCGGGAATAGGCAAGGGTCTGAGAAGACCAAGAGGGGCTGCGTACATACTCTATGGAGTCAGCCTTCATGCCAGGCCAAGTATACGCGCGCATGAGGTTGGCTAACGTCTTTTGCCAACCAAAATGTCCCTCTGTAGCGTGGCATTCCCCTAAGATCGAACTACGGATCTCTTCACTGTTAGGAACGCACAGATGGTCAACTATGTTAGTCTTTTCGAATAGTAGCCCATTTGTAGTGCGGTAATCTGGCTCAGACTCTAGAGACTCCTTAACTCTCTTAAGGAGATCACTATAAATAGGGTCATAGGCTTCTTTAACTTTCTGTTGCAGGTCTCTCCCTATATCCAGATAGTGGACTATCGCTCCAAAGTAATCAACTTTTCTACTCAGAGCATCCGCAACTACATTATACTTCCCTTTGATTGGCTTGAGCTCAAAGCCGAATTGGTCTATCTCTGCGGCCCACCTAGTAAGCTTAGGTGTCATCTTGGCGTGCGTCTTCAGCCACCTCATTGTCACGTGGTCTGAATAGACTTTGAAGTGTCTCCCAAGCAAGTAATGCTTCCAGTGATCTTAGGCTTGCCTGAGAGCGTAGAGTTCCCTCTCGTAGGTAGATGTCGCGACCTTCTCTGAAGGCATCCTAGCAGACATAAACTCTGCGGGTCTATACCCATTGCCATCATCTTGTTGTAAAACAACACCTATACCGTACTGACTCGCGTCGGTGGTGACGACAAAGGGCAATGATGGATCGGCTACCTCGAGGACTGGGTATTCTATCGAGGCCCGCTTTAGCTTCTTCGGGGCCGAGGTTCAATCTCTATCCCACTCCCAGATTGCTTCTTTCTTTAGCAACCTAGGCAGGGGTGCAGCGATGGTAGAAAAGTTCTCACGGACTTCCTATAGTAGTTGGCGTAGCCTAGAAACGATCGCAACTCTGTCAGTGTGCGGGGCGTTGGCCAATCTCTAATTGCTGCTATCTTACTATCCTCAGGCTTTATGCCATCTCCATCTAAGACGTGGCCCATGTACAGGACTTGCGTCTTTGCCCACTCACACTTTTTCTCGCTGATCTTGAAGTTAGCTTCCTTTAGCTTCTCCAAGACCTGCATTAGATGACCCTCATGCTCCTGGAGGGTCTTACTGAAAACTAAAATATCGTCTAAGTACACAACTACAAATCTATCTAGCCAAGGCCTAAGCAAATCATTCATACAGCATTGGAATGTTGTTGGCGCGTTGGTTAGTCCAAAGGGCATAACTATAAACTCGTAATGCCCATACCTAGTCCTGAATGCTGTCTTGTACTGATCATCAGGGTGGACCGCTATCTGATGATAGCCTGACTTCAAATATATCTTAAAGAAATACTTGCAACCCTGCACCCGATCTAACAAATCATCTATACGGCGCAATAGTTCTGCATTCTTCACTGTGACGACATTGAGACCCCTATATTCTATGCACATTCTAAGCTCTCCCTCCTTAGGGACGAAAATAACAGGTGCTCCAAATGGAGACGAACTGGGTCTGATCCAACCCTTCTCGAGGAGCTCGTCTAACTGCTTGCGCAGCTCCTCTATGTCCCTTGGGGACATTCTGTAGATGGCTCCCTTAGGAGTCCTACTGCCAGACTCTATCTCAATACGATGCTG